GCAGCCTCGACACGATGGGTGGGCGCCAGGATGCCCACCACCTCCTGCCCTGGGCACACTCTGTTGGAGCAGAGTCCTACCTTGTCCCCGGTGCCACTGGCATGCAGCGAGGTGTTAGTGTGGGTTTTGCTCTAGAGAGGCAGGAGGGAGGTTACATTGGGGATCGGGGTTTGCTCCGTTAAAGCGGGAGGAAACGGGGCGGCAAATAAAGCGGCGGCAGCTGCGGGGGACGTGGGAAGAAGCCCGTACCTGGAAATCGGAGGCATGCTCCTTCTGCAGCCCCTCTTTGGTGGCGTCGTGGCTGCCGGGGCCGGAGAAGGTGAAATAGTCCGTGTGCGCCTTGAGGCCGCTGGTGAGGTGGTCCACCTTCCTCGCGAAGCAGCCCAGGTCCTGCTGGAGCACGCCCAGCCGCATGAGGAGCACGTTCATCAGCTTGGCATCGCTGGGGCTCTCGCCGCCACTACCCACCGACTCCACCAGCAGCCCCCCCACGCACTCGTTGTCCAAACAAGCCTTCAGGCCGGAGGTGAAGCCGTTGGCATCCGAAATCAAGACGTCGATTGCTTTGCTGACGAGTGCCGCCTGGTCCCGGATGCCCAGCAAGGTCTCCAGGTCCTTGGGCTTGAGCAGCTTGGCGGGACCATCGGGCACCTTCCCACCGCTGGGCACCCTGTCCTGCCCATCAGCTTCACCGCTGCACATGCCGTCCCTCCAGCCGGTGGTGGGGACGCACTGCGCCGAGTCGCCGGCCTCGGCGTCGGTCTCCAGCATGGGCCGGGTGGTCTGGCAGGAGGCCAGGTCGCAGCGCTGGAGGTTGGAGAGCAGTACGCGGTTCTCGTACTGCAGCTTCTTCACCTTGCCGCTCAGCTCGCTGATCTGCACCTTGGCCGTGGCCAGCTCCTCCTGCGAGGGCTCGCTGACCACTGAGCAGCTGTCCTCCGACAGCGTCACGTCCAGCTCATGGTCCGACTTGTACTTGGTCAGCTCGTTCAGGAGGAGCTTGTTCTGGTCCTCCAGCTCCAGCAGCGAGCGCCTCAGCAGCTCGGCCTCCTCCTCCACAAACTGCAGGTGCCGGCGCAGCTCTGCCACCGTGTCCCCCGTGTCCCCGCAGCCCGAGATGCCCGCCAGGAACCGCGCGTCCTGCCCTGGCAGCTCTCTGTCCCCCTGGCCCTTCATGTCGTCCATCTCCGCCCGCAGCCCGCGGTTTTCCACCTCCAGCTCCACTATCCTCCGGCTGAGGATGTTGGCTTCCTCCTCCACCAGCTTGAGGTGGACCTTCAACTCGGCCTCCCGGGAATGGGGAGAGTCAGCCAGCTCCTCCACGGAGAGGGAGCTGTCGAGGTCCCCATACAGGGACCTGTACTTCAGCAGCTCCTCCTTCATGCCGTCATTCTCTTTGGCCAGCTTGGTCAGCTTCTTGCACATCAGGGCCGACTCCTCCTTGGCAAAATGCAGCTGGCACTTCAGGTCCGCGCTGTCCTCCTGGGGACCGAGAGGGCGCGGGCGTTAGAAAATCGTTCCCAGGAGCCCCCGTGGCTCCGAGCAAGCCCTGGGGACATGCCGCCCTCCCACCACGGTGATCCTGGGGAAGCTGCAGCCCCTGCTCGTGGAGGGCAAAAAACTTTGAGATCCATCTTGGAGGCTTTCATGGAGAGCCTGGGCACAGGGCAGGATGCCTGGGTGAGGAAACCCATGGCTCCGGCCCCAGGAATGACATGGAGCCGCTGCCAGGGATGTGGGGACAGAGCCCAGCCCTGCTGCAGCCCGATCCACCGCGGGGAGGAGGGGAGGGAAAGCTGTCAGACTCCGCAGAGCAAAATAAAAGCCACCAACAAGGTTTCCTCCCGAAAGCTGGCAAGCGCTGAAACAACTGGCGCTGCTGCCGCTGCAACCCGCCCCGCCGGGGCTCTGCTCCTCCCGCTCAGTCCCAAATGCTCCATCACAGGGCAGAGAAGCAGCAGTTTCAGCTGGAAACCTCCCAAAGTCCCAGCCCTCGCCCAGCACTCGTCCTTGCTGCCATCACCTTGCCAGGGGACAGAAAACCCAGGCAAAACCCCCCGCATCAACTCGCTGGTCCCTTCCCAAGCCCCTTTGCTTCTTGGGACCGTTTCTCCATGTGTTTTATTTAAATTTAGCAGTTAGGATCTTGGCTATGTGCCCGGGAAGACCGTTTCTCTGCTTTGGAAAGCTTTTTGGATGGAGGACCAGGATTTCCTGACGTCCAGCTTGTGGTTTCCCGTGCCGTGGGGTCACTTGAGTGCTCCGCGCCCCGGCGCGGTGACTGCCAGGAGGGG